TTTCACTGGCAAGACTGATTTAAACTCAACCCTCTCTCTTCCCCCAGTTAGGAAACACTAAGTCAGTTTCTATTTTGAATGTTAAAAGAACCCTAAAAGTCACTGCTCAATTCTATATTTAGCATAGTTAAATTTATATTTTATTCTAGCCAAGATTTTGAAAAAAAAAAATTATTCATGAACTTACACCGTGTTTAAGAACTAACTTTGAGCTTAAAATCCAGGTATTCCAGATAACATCAATAAGGTCATGGAATTCCCAACAAGAAACATGTTATTAATGAATTAAAATACCTCCATCTGTTTCAAAAGCAGCTTGCAAGATCAGAATCATAATGAGTGGACATACAACCCTGTAACCAATCTGGCAAAATAACCTGTTAGCAATTTAGAAACACAGTCCTTACAATGGAATTACTTCCACATAGTTTAAATATTAAGATATTTTCTAGTTAAATGTTATGGTTTTGTAAATATTTTCCAACTTCAGCTAACCATTTAATTCATTCAAAATGTTCAGCACAGATTTATTTAGAAAATTAAGCTTCAAAACCACCTTTAGCTTGCTCATAGCTCCCCTTTAATCTGCTACATTTTTCTGCCTCTTTCCTGCTTCCTTGTGCCTGTGCATATGAACAGAAGACAGAACAAACCTCTCCACCTTGGCCATGCTCCACCATCCCTCTGCTGAAGGTAGACACCATGAAAAAAGCTAGAGTACCACCCAATTCATGGGATCAAAGAGAAGACAGATAAGGAAATGTCTGAACAGGATGAGCTCAGATAGACATGAGAGTTTGACATGGTGAATGCCAGTGGTCCTGTAAGAACAGGCAAAATCGTTACAGTACTGCTGACAACTACTGACATCATACCTAAAGTGCACAATATTTCACAGGCTACTACAAAATAACTCCAAATAATCCAAGAATATTTTAACTGCCTCCACATGTCCCAAGACTCTTCAAGACAAACTGTCAACAATACCTGCATAATATATTACTATTCAGTTAACTATTTCACCCCTGTACTTTTATTCCTCGTCACCCCATCCCAAGACATGCCTTTATGCAGACACAAGTAAGTGACACTGAAGAACTCTAGACACGACCTGCTGATCTTCCACTTTTCTTCTGTGCCAGCTGTAAAGCAGCCATCATTTACTTACTTTTGATATACAAATCTTAAAAATTCACCACAATTCCTTTAGGCAACTCTTTAAAGCCACAGATTAACCAAATCTTTCTCACACCATGTATCAGGGATTTATTTTCATGTGCTGCATAAACAGCCTCACTAGTCTTCACTGTGATGTATCTGGTGACTACTCTTGTCAAATTTTCAGTGTGTATAAAAAGCAAGGTAAGGAAGAGGTAGTTCTTATTCTTCTATATTTGTGTGTTGACAACATCCCAAAAGGTAAAATTTTTAAGCCAGCATTGAAGTAGTTAAAGCAGTAGACCAGCTTTTACAAAATCAAGCAGGTATTACCGGTGAAACTTCACTTAGCTGAAGAAGGATCACTAAAGAGCACTGAAGTCTGACAGGACTGCAGCCTGGAAAGAACAAGAGGACATCTCTCTCTCCTCACAAACTTTATCAAGCCTTCAGTAGTTTCCAGCATGTTTCCTCAGATTAAGAGGTAACCTGATGTTTTGGCAGGCTCTCTCAGAGATGGTATCTTAGTCATTCCCTTCCTCATTCAGCCATCTGCATTCTACCCATGAGACAACATTCATCAGCAGTACTGTACTGCATTCATGGTACTGGTCTTACTTGTCCCCAGCTGTCCAGTCACATTGAATTACCTAGTTGTGGTGTGCAACTGGCTAAGAACAAGTGATTTATACCTTCAAAACTGGTTTCACGGAGAAAAGCCTCCACCGTTCTTCAACAGTGAGCTGAAATTAGCTTCTTTTGCAGTGTGGGCATGGGAAAGTCAAAACAGGGAAATTAAGTTAAAATTGTTTCCATTCTTGCCCCTCTCCCTTCAGGAAGCCCGTGAAGACTCCTTTTATTCATGCCTCTCTTGCTTGGTTTAAGCAGCAAACAAGTTAACCAGGATGATATTAGGAAGCATAGCTTAACGTCTTTAGAAATCAAACTGTTAGGGAGACATTACCTACAATTTCCCTAGCTTTTGCTTTGTAGCCTATGCACAGGGTATTTTCAAAGTCCCAGAAATGAGGAACAGATTAATCCCTCTAATAGGTTCTGAGGCTGAAAGCATCTGATGAGAAGGGCTCTTTCTCTGATAGGACTGCATACGAACGGTGGGGAGCAATGCCCAGTGGAAAGTGTGGAACAGAGTAAGAGACCGGTAAGTAGAAGCTCATCACCCACATAACATCACAGAAGCTTTGCAAAATGGTTACTGAGGACAGCAGAGGAAAATGGTACCCAAAGATGCTTAAATATCCAACTATGTTAAAGAGACAAGACAGAAAACCTGATCATGGTCTGTTAAGGCAATAAAGGTATATTGTGATTTCATTTCTATTACCTGAGGCTCACTGCTGTTTAAGGCTGAAGTATATTGATTTATTGTTTATATACTGCCTATTCATAATATGTTTTAAATTCTTAAAACATATAGATGATCCTTTGCAGAAGTTCATGCTTTTTTAATTTAAAAAAAAATTAATTGTTAAAAAACTTATTTCATTCTCTTTCTAGAAAAGGGCGTATGTGATGCACACAAAGGAAGAAACTGAAGACCAGGGAGATGGATAACAGCAGTGCTCACCAGACGTATTTAGTAACTAGGCATTTGCCACAGTAGATCCTAGAAACAATTATGTTATGCATATAATCACTTTCCTGTCACTTCAAAGACACTAATGCCTGCTCTGTCACCTTTTAAGAGCTTAGCAGCAGCAAGATATAAAACAGAGTAAGTTGGCAGCAGTATCATGGTCTACTAGGCATGTTCATTAGCAGTTAATTAAAAACTAGACACCTGCCATAAGAAATGTGCTCAAAAAAGGATGAGTAACAGGTCTGTCTTACTACCAATTATTATCATTACCTGCAGAGCAAGGGCTGTGTCCACTTTCAGAGAGAAGTGGTAAGGTAGAGAAGAGTTCAATGGTGACTGCACTGAGATAATTAATAAGTGACTGCACTGAGATAATTAGCCACAGCAGTGATTTTAAAAGCATCAGTAGTTCACACACCATTTTGTTGCAAATACAGAAGTTCTTCATATTTGCAAAAGGAGAAAAGGAATGTCCAGTTCAGCTGACAGTACTGTCTAGATGTAGGTTTTACTGCCTGGAGTTCTCTCTCCCAGTATCCCACTACCCAGACAGCAAAGACACAAAAACCAACATGAAGAACACAGCACTTCCTTCTCTGAGCATACACCTCCTAATGGCATTTAAGGCAGCACAGTTTTTCACCTCCAACATCCTAGGCAAGTTCCAGCTATAAAAAGCACTTTAACTAGGACTTAAAATTTGAAATAAATCTTCAACCTCTGCCAACGACGGAGTTAGTGAGTCTTTGTGAAAGAGATTTCCTATACATAAACAATGACACTTCTCTTTTAGGTTCCCAGCTTATTAAGATAGAGCATGAGCTCTTACAATCCCACTTCCCATCTTAGAGTGGCTCTGTTGAGGTCACAAACACCTATGGCTTACCTAAAGATCTACTTTTGAATTCCTAGTATTAAACAGAGCATTTTTTTGTCCTTAAACAGATGTGTTATGTCCTATTCAGGACCTGTTGAAAAGCAACAAATTAAAAATTCAGATGTGATTATACATGCACAGTGGGGAAAAAAAAAAGTTATACCTGGTCCCAAACTACAATAGCTGTCTTCTCTTAGGGCCTTCTAAATAAACACCCTGGAGTAGAAAATTTTCAAAAACTTCATCAGCATTAGCACCAGTAATAAGATTCACAGAATCCCCTCAGGTCCAAATAAGTGTTCTTAAAAAAGTACCTAGCACTCACAAAAGTAATTTAGAGACCTAAAAGTAAAGGGCACTATTTCATGTCAACTTCTGTAAAACTGAAGAAATGTGATTTTGCTGAACTCAATAAGGCAGAAAGACATGAGAGAAAAAACATGTATTACTGTGCTCAGTTTCATTGCCATATTCTCTCCATTCCCTAAGGGAAATCTTCAGAATTTTTATTTGCATGCTTAAGTAGCAGAAGGAAGCGAGAGCCTGTATCAAACGTCTACGGCCAATCAACATGAGGGACACTGTCCAACCACAAACCGCTGGCCAATCAAGTTATAACCTTCTCCCTCACTGTTCAGAAATACTCTTAAAACCAACATTGAAAATGTAAACTTCCAAAAAAGGTAACAATGCAAGGATATGCTCCTGTCAGATCAAGTCTTCTCCTTCCTTCTAAAAAAAAAAAAACCCAAAAACCTGCACACACCCCCCACATTACCAGTCAAGCATAGCTGGAGTAAACTCATTAGACAGTCTAAGCCATTAATTAGTACTTGCATTTAAGTTTCTGTATGTACTTTAAAAAGATAATTTCAGCTACAGGGAAGAGCATACTGCAGGATGACAAACAACCTCACTTAATATATCCACATTTTTCTAAAATGGATTGACTGCATCAGTGGACAAGGGAAAAGCTGCAGATATCATCTACCCAGACTTCTGGAAGGC